TGCAAAGGCCCGCTCACCCCACATTAGACCCGTGGGTGCGCTCTAACAATGAAGATTTCCTCCTACTATTCGATTAGAGTTGCCAAAAGGTCGGCAGTGGGTGCTGTTGCTTAGTTTTCTTCTCTGTAGTCTGCGAGTTCAAAATTAGGGACGACTATGCGCAAATAGTCCTTATGTAGTTTTTCGAGAAACTGCAAAACAATGACTTTCTTGCATAAAGTATCGAGACACCCGTTGAACAATGGCCATTCGACATCCATGATTGACCAGATGAGACGAATTTTGTTTGATGTGACGCTTTGGAATTCTGATACTTTGATGTTAAACTTCACGAAGTGATCGAATATTGGTATAAGGAAAGCAGACGAACAATTTGATGTAAATGAGTTGTGTCGACTATTAAAGATTGACTGATAATTTATGATGTGGCCACATTCTGCTCACTTTACAATGTCAACAAGTTTGGATATCCGTAAATATTAAGTGTTCTTAAATGAAAACACTGTAGGTACCACCTCTGTGTTCTTTATCATTGTGTTGTTCCAGCAGAATGATGGTCACTGCTTCAAAGCACGTAAGAACCAAAGTAATAAAATATTGACTTTTGGATGGTCGTCCCATAGCCTAGGTCTTAACTTTATAAGACGTGGTCAATCGGCTAAACCTTGTAAATATTAATGGAGACAATTTACACAAGATAAGTGTCAAAACGTAATTGAGAGCATGCCTTGTAGGGCAGGAACACTTTTTCCTTAAAAGATCGGTGCTATCATGTTCGGACACTGGTCACAAAGACCCCCGCCTCCTCTGTGACGACACTTCCACTGATCACAAAGTGACCACATTTCCACCTAATTTGAGAACTCATTTTGGGTTGTTAATAAAGTTCAAGTAACATATGTTCGAAATCTCTTATAAGGTGAAACCTAAAAGTCCAGTTTCTCATGTCTCGTTAACAACGACTATCTAGCTCACCAGCATACAACGCTTTCAATCTTCGTACCGAAAGTACACGCATATGTTTTGATTTTGTCATAAGAGTAATATGCAGTTTGAGATCATGCTGTTTTAACCGCTTAAGTCTGTGTACCATTTTCAAGATTTAGAAATATGTTAAGTAATGGCAATAATTTCAGTGTCGGTAAAAAAAGGGGGGAAGGTGTAAGTTATGTATTTACATAATAAAGCGCAAGACTGAATGTATCTCAAAAAAGGGGCAATAATTAAGTTGATATCCTACATTCGTTGTATACTCAGTATTGTCTTTTGTTACATGAGATGTAAAATACAAGCTAAATGTTAAAATTAATGAATTTTCTTATCTTGAACAATGTTTCAGTTACATTTAACCAACTGTAATTTGAAAGCACCAGTTTTACACAAATCTCAACTACAAACTTGATATTTAAGATATGATTTTTCGTAAAATGTTTTAAACTGAATGATAAAATTTTGACATAAGTTTACCACAAAAAAGTTACCATTATAAATATTGTAAAAAAGTGTTAGAGCAGCATTACAAATTTCGTAAGAGACAACAGAAGCAACTAAAAGAAGTTATTGTAATTACGTAAACTGATATTCTTGTTCTATTGTTGGTGTTTTTAACAAGTATTTCCTAACTTCACGAGCTGAAAGAAAAAAAACCTAAACTGTTACGTCCACTTTTTTAGAAAAACATGGCATTACCGTGCAATATTCATAATGAACAAATCTTACCGATACATATAGTGTCTTGTATGGGTGTGCATTCTTGAAGCATAATTTGGCTTTCATGGCACGTGGTGCACAACTCGCAACCCAGGGTACCACTAAGAAGTCCAGAGTAAGTTCCAGGTGGACACTTGCGGCACATAGTGTTTTTTGTTGCTGAGCACTGTCTAGCTACCCCCCATCCATGAGAGCACAGTTCGCAATGCTTGCAGAATTTCTCTTCAGTGTCCATATAGAAACCCTTCTCACAAGCACACTGTATGTCATGTGTTGCATTACATTTTTCTATCAAACGTGAATTTTCTGGACATTCGCTACATTTTATGCACACTGTCTCATCATCAGAGGTCGTTGAAAATGTATCTCCAGACCGACAGGGGACACACTGCGTTTCTTCGGTATTGGTGCATTTATATTTTACACCAAAGCCTGGTGGACAAGACTGACAACTTGTCGCTTTGGCAGCTGACTGAATTTCGCATAGATTATATCCAACCTGGAATAAAAATAAAACACTAGTAAAAAACATTAAGCAGCTATTTATATCATTTGAAAATGCATCAACCATCAGAACGAAGGAATTATTCAAGAAAATCAACAGTAGGTCAACCAAGGGCGTAACTTATGTTTCAGAAGTGGGAGGGAGAGAGTTGGTTGCTATATGTTCTGTAAGAACACACCCGAAGACTCTTGTTTAAACTTGTATTTGGCATTAGTTCCTGTTGAAGCCTAGTGTAACTGGTAATTTTGCTGTTGAAGTCGTTTAAGTTTAAAACTTACAAAAAGAGAAAAGTTATACGAAACCAAACTTTATCCTTACTCAATTGGACAAACTTTATTAATTTAATACAGTTTTTTTCTGTGCCTTAATAGTCACTTTACTTTAAAAAACGTGCGACCTTAATAACCTGTCACTTTATAAGGCAAAATTATTCTCACCCCCCATTTTTTCATGTTTTATGAAAAAACTAAATTTTTACAAAATGATCTAAAAACATTTTCAGTCCACACAAAACTTATTGACGTCAATCGTTATTTAATACTCGCAGAAATAAATGAGGATTTTAAAACTTAGTTACATCAGACCCGCTTGCTTTGTTCCCGTTATTATTCTAATTCCTCATATTTTATGTCGCAAGTGAATAAAAACTCCTTTTAATTCTACACATTTCTTAACAGTAGAGGTAGCAGGAGAAACATCAAAGCGAGTTTAGTCTTACAAGTTCACTAACAAAGCATATCGTGTTACTTAATAACAGGATGCGAATATATAGGCTCGCGTCGCAAGTTAGACCATACACATAGCTGTGAATAATAAATACATTTTTAATAAGTGGGTTGCTTGAATAGCAATTATTTTTGCTTAGCTGTGAGCGTGTAGTGAATTTTATAATGAGACTTGAAAAGTTCGACTTGGTCAGTGACCTATCTGTTAATGAAAAGTATACGATAATTACTAAAAAGCATACAGTATATAACTGTGTGTACATGCATGCTAACAACATGATTGTTAGCAGCAAGAAAGTGAAAAAAAACATTAGTTAAAAAATAAATCTTGGAATATAAAGCATACGGCTTATTTCTCCGAAATTCATGAATTTATCTTTTGATTCGTGACTTATAATCGATAATAAACTCCATCGTGTTGTGGCTGTGGAGAAATAGCTTTATCATGGTCGTACAACCTCAAAATAAATCCAATTTACAATGAATTACAATAATTCCTGGGCGTTGAAAAGGTAGTTTCGTTGCTCTACTAAATATCTGAAGCTATTAGACACTTTAACGAAATATGAACTTGCAAACAGGCAAGTCGTCGTCGCAAATGTGCCTCGTGCAGAGTAGAAAGAGGTTTGAAGCTGTCTATTTTATAACTGATTTATTATTTGAATAGTCGCTATTTGTCCGGGTAATCACCTAAAACGGCACAACGAACCACATTAGTCTTCCTTATTCTCCATCTTACGAGACATAAAGACACTAACACTTTCGAAATTACTGTAAATATCATTACCATATTTAATACATATATCATAAAATACTTTGTTTTCTACCAATATACGTTCAAGTAATTTTATCATCTAATGTTCTAGAAACTAGATGAGAAACACTTTGAATTAATTCTGCTGGAGCTACTCAGTACACAATTTATAGATTTAAAATGTTTAGTAAAGACAAATCGTATCAAATAATTTTGCTATATTTTACCTGAAAGTCAGTTTGTATACTTTACAATTTGCATAATTTTGTGTTTTGTGGTAGTTACTTGATTCGAGAACATTAAACATGTTAAGACTATTTAAGCTTGTTTCCACCTTACTCTTAGTGTGGCATATAAACATTGTTCTTATAGTTTTTCATAGTTTGCCAACTAAAACTTCAACTAATTTTCTTCGCAGTTTGCGAGATCCTGGGTCGTGTGCACAATAAGTACTGTTTTAATCAGAAGCTGAATTTCTATATAATGCTTTAGTGGATCAATGCTCATTTTATATTCATGTGTGATGTAATACTCCTTAAAGCGTGGAAATGGTAAAGGGTCGGGGCTTGGAAATAAACGTATTTTTTATTCCATGATTCACGTCTGCTCGCAGCCATTGAGGTATATTGTGAAATTGTAATTCTTTATAAACGTTTTATTAGATCCATTTACTGGATTGAATGAATTATCGTGAAACTGTTAGAGAAATTATCTACTCTTATTTGAAATGCACCTTTCTGGGGGCTGGGAAGATAGATAGGCTAATCTGTCAAAACAAATACATCTGTGGGAATGAGAGATGGAAGAAACTCCAACCCTAATACAATTAAAAAAATGTCAGCTTATTTAAGATTAATTCAGTCTTACTTTTTAATATCCATTTTCCAAGAGTGCCTGATCTGAGTCAGTTAATTCTAGCCCGAGTTTTGATTTAGTGGAGAGGAGTCGGAACCGGGGGCGCTGTAGCACCACCACTTTTTCATATTTGACTTGTATAGCAACTGTAAATTATATTATTATGTTAATTTTCTGGGACATGCCCCCAGACCCCCCTAGATTGAGTTGCTTTCAGCAGCTCCTTATACTTTCCATCTCTCATTGTAAAATCTGTATGTGTAGCCAAGCACAGCCCACCCCAACACCTTGCAACTCTATCCTACACCACTGTAGTGGATAAGTTTGTATTACATATTATGTCATTATGGTTGAAAGAAAAAATTGTGTTTGTTTCGGATATTCGTGCAAAGCTACGCACAAGGGCTATCTGCCCCTAACTTTAAACTGACAACATCCATCACAAACACTTGGGATACGCTAGTCGAATAAGAGGATTGGATCATCACTCTTATAACGCATCCATAGCCCCAAAGTGTGTAGCACGATTTTACGGCAACGGGATGCGAGCCATGCACATTCGAATTTACGGTTTGGCGTGATAACCACTAAGCCACACCTGGCCCAGGAATAAAAAACAGTTGCTAACATGTAATAAGCGCCTTTTCAGGTGAGCATTTTTTTAACCCTTCATCACGATGGTTAAAAAATATCGAAACTTGAATATCAGGCAAACTCTGTGATCGGTTTTGATTACAATGAAGAATGACTATGTTAGGACACAGAAAAAATAAGACATTAATATTTGGGCATAACATAGCACACATACATATAGTTTCTGAAGACATATATATATATATGTATATATATTACGGGGCTTAACCATTTCATGGAAATGACAGTTTTTCGTAACGGCTATGTATATAAATATCAATTATCTAGAAATTTTTATGCTCTCAAAAATAGTTTTAATTTCGTTAAGCTTCTCCCTCAAGCTTCGTATTTTTTAGCTATCGCAAACAACTATCCAACTACATATGGCCGATGTCATTATTATTATTATTATTTTTTTGTCTATAAAAGAAAATGTTCGACTCTAATTAAACCAGTTTTTGAACAGAGCTATGTGAAATAATGATGTTTTTCCCAACTCACTATCTGTTACGCAATGAAATAGTTGATTAATTGTCATTTTGATAGAGAAAAATTGCGTGTTCTTTCACAACTCACTAAACCTTTGTAGATAGAAAACTTGAATGGGGGAGGGGTGTTCACATGAAAATCTGGGGATACTTGATTAGACACGGTTCCAGAGTAAGGTCATCGATCAACCCACTTGTCAAGTAACCTCTGGAAGGAACAGAATTATGTGAGACTACAGCTTAAAGTATAAACTGAGTCTCTCCAAACTCAGTAGTGAACACGGGAGATTTTCTAAACCGTGCCCCTATTTGAGAGTCATGTAAATCAACAATTTACAAAAACACAAAACTTTAGTGTACTCTGTACTCATATTCTTATGGCAGTAAAAATGTTACATTAAAACCTAAGAAAAAAAAAAGTTGCTCGTGAAGTTATGGGTGTGATAATAAGAATAATCAAGAGGTTTTCAACACAGATCAGAAAGGGATTTTGCTTTCTCGTCAAGTATCACGTGCTAATTGAAACAATGCAGGAACGGATAATGACTTTTCACATACCTCTGCTAAAGAAAGAAAGAAAGTACATCTTAACATAGCCGGATCAAAGTGCCAAAAAGAAGCATAATCATAAGACACTTGCACTAACAGCTATGTAATTACAGGTCTTGTCTTATTTCGCTATGTAAACATCAGTTCTTGACATATGCGTAATATAAACATCCGCCTTTACATACTGGCTTTTTATACATGGGTATTTAACATGTGTAGTTCGTAAACATTAGTGGTTGTCAAATTTAGTTGGTCTTATGTATGGTGACAAACGTTAGTGTTGGCACACTTAGTCTTGAAAGTTGGTATTTTAAATGTATAATGACATAAGTGTTAGTGGTTTTGACACTTAGGTTTTCGTATTGGTCTTTTACACGTATGATTACATAAAAGTTTATGGTTTTCACATTTAGTTCTCCATATTGGTCTTTACACTTGTGATTACATAAATGTTAGTGGTTGTAACATTTAGTTTCGTAACTTGTTCCCTTACACTTGTAGTTTTATAGAAATGTTAATGGTTGTTACATTTATCTTTGTGCACGCGGGCCTTTGTTACCATACTGATCTATAAGATTCTCTATTTGTTGAAATATCTTTATAACTTTTTTGTACTAAGAGCAACTTCAAGTGGAATATAACAGATTTTTAAAAATTCTGTTTTTAATCTTCAAAACAATCTAATCTATAGCGCAGATCTTACTGACCTTAAATGTTGTAAAGTCTAAAGCGAGGTAACTAATGGAATATCAAGTCAGAAGCAATCTGTAACTTTCGCTCAGTGACCTTGAAAATTTTAAATAGTTCTACTATGAGCGATATTTTACTAGAAATACGGTTAAGTATGCTGCGATAACCGCAACGAATCTAAACTTGGTTATTCTTTTTTTATTCTATTTTTTTTTTGTTCTCATTAATCCCGCATACATACGTGCTTAGCTTTCCATAAAATAATAATCAACAACGACATGAAATCTCAAGAACAGGCTT